ACAAAAGCATAAAAAACATGCGCAGGTATGATAAAAGGTGGAATAAAAGGTCACCTGAAATGCAAAAAGACGTAACAAGTCGGCACAAATATTTTTTCGCCGAAATATTAATTTTTACGTGAAGAGTTGCTCGTTCACGACTGTTACGATTCGAGCAAAGGTTTCTGATTCTGAGATTTGGAAAAATACTGTCGATCTATTTCAAATAACATAGACAATAAGAGGGGATAACACGTTATAATTGCAGCGAGGGTGAGTGACAGGAGCGCGTCTTTCTTTTGCCAAAATACGTTTTTTTATTGGATGATAAGAGAAGGTACGCCCCTGTTGCTCACACTCGCTACAATTATATGTTGTCCCTTCTTATTATCTAGGTTCTTTGTCTATAAATAGGGTGACCATTCGTAACGATTTTGAGGAAATTGTCCCGCTGAATATTTTTTAAAAGTCGGGATTTTTCATATTTGGACCGATTAAATACCGATTTTCTGGGTTTTCTTTATTAATTTAATAGGAGCCTCCGTGAATTCTGGCCCAAAAACCATTTTTCTGACAAACGTGATAGCAGTTTAGTTATCACAAAATACATAAACTATAAGGGAGCTAAAAATAACCAGCATCCTTATATTCTATGATACTATTAACTATACTACTATAAACTTTTAAGAGCTGATTATTAAAAAAACGGCAATTTTTTATATTAAATAAAAAAAAATTAACAATATTTTATTTAAATTAGTTTCCTTCTAGAAATCCGAAATCGCCATTGGAAGGCTCGTTCAATAGGTTTGTTTTTTTTTTTTGCTCATTTGTGTTTCTTTCGTTCGTTCTCGGACTGTTCAGAGCAGTAGATCTCAAGTTTTGGATCAAACTTTTTACAAAAATTAAACAATTTCTGCAAGGTTTCCCATAAATTGCAAACATTTTAATTATAATCTAAAAAAAAATTAATTTTAGTATAATAAAGTGCAAGATTTAAATTGCTAAAAATTGCGTTGAGTTTCGGCAATTTTTTTCCTTGAACATGTAAAGCAGTTCCTTCCATATCAAGATATTTTTTGAACATATTTTGAAAGATTTATGCAACCTTACGGAGTGCTGCCAGCTTTTCTTTTTATCACATCACGATGTAGCGAATAAATGTGGCACGTTTCAGAAACCGCTACTTGCGATTTGCCGATTTTGACAATTCTCAACGCTTTAGATGCACTAAAATTTGCTAATTCTTTCTCAAAAATCGCCATCTTTTAACATTTTCCCTATTAGTTCTTTTTATAAATCATATATTTTGGAATTTAAAGCAATAAAACCACGTTTCTTGTCAAAAAATCGAATATTGAGATAATTTAATATTTTACAGTTTATTTTATAATCCCATTATGACTGTTGTTAGTGTTTAGTGTTGGACAATTTTTGCTCTTAAAATTAAGAAAATTATGTCGAGCAAAAATAAAACTACTCAAAAATGCGAATATGTGGTAGATTTCAGAGCTTGAGTGGTAGATGTGGTATATGCTCAAAAAAGTGGCAGATCTACCACAATGTAGTAGAAGTGCGATCACTGGTTCAGAGCCACTTTGAGAGAGTAATTTTTGTTTCTCACTAGCAGAGATCGCCCGGGCGAGTTTGTGAAAACTGTCAAACTGCTATAAGAAGAGGAAGTATTATAAAGATTCCAATTTTAACTAATCAATATATGTATGCCGTTTTTCCAAATAATTAATTCATTAATATGTGGAAAACAATTGACTGATTTTAATTAAAATTTTTGCGTTCTCCTGGTTTTTTTGGGCAGTTTATTCACTTTTTTGAGAGCATTTCGACTGCTGCTCGTATGGCTGTCGAGATAGGTCGATGTTCCACTCAGTAGGAGATTTCGTACTTACGCTTATTTGCCCAAAGCTATCCTTTTGAAAGTTTGTTCAAATTGGATTTGAACTGTAAAAATTTGAAATATCAGTATTTTGAACTTTTTTTTTTTAATAAGTATTTATGTATCCATATTACGTACATACTTATGTTTGTAAAGAAAAAATATACCTTCAATAGCAATTAAAAAAAAAAAGGTAAACTCCTTTCCATTTAAGGTTCCATTGGCTCTAAAGCCGTAGATGAGGTGTTTGTGGTCGATGGTGTTGATGACGCTGACGCAGACGCTGGGTCTGATGCCGATGCTGATGCCGTCTCTGCTTGCATGGCTTGTTGCGATTGATTTTGTTTCTGCTGTTGTTGTTGTGTCCTCTGCTTCGGTTTTGGCCGGCGATGTCGCTGCGATTGTTGCTCCCTTTGCTGCCCTCCATCACCCTGAGGTTGCTGCTGCTGCGATTGCTGTGGCGATTCTTGAAATTGCCGTGGCTGCTGTTGACCAACATTATTTTCGTTACGCGCTCTGCGTTGCTCACCACGATTTCTATTTGAATTTTGTGGTCTTTGGGAGCGTTCACGCAGCTCTCCCCCACTTTTTCCAACTTCTTCCGATTCCTGCCGTGCTTCTTGATTCTGGGCTTTTCCTTGACGTGACTGTTTTTGTCTCTGGTGACGTTGTTGTTGTTGTTGTTGCGTGCGACCTTCACTGCTTGGTCCTGCATAATGTGATTGTTTTTGCTGCTGCTGCTGTGCACTACCACTCCAGCCCCTCCAATACTCTGTGGTAGTGTTGGGTTTCTGCACGCTGAGATGAGGGATAGAGAGCATGGAGAGAGGTGGAGAAAATTTTATAACAAACATTTTGTTTGCATATTTTCTAAAGCAAGATGGAAATATAAGAAAGTGTAACTTAAATTTAGTGGTTTTCTTAACTTACATAAACACTAAACATAAAGGTCTAGAGAAACCGTATCAATTACCAATTTTCACACGTTCCCACGACTGTCGGGTCTGCGTAAACGGAACGACCCAGATTTATATATGGCCAAGGTCTGTCACTCCAGCAACACTCCCCAAAAGACTCTTTGGGGAATTTGTATGCTGTTACAGCAACAACAACAACTGCAAATTTTCCGAACAAAATCCGAATTGGACAGAAAACCGTGTTTAAGTATTAGGGTGGCCCAAGATAAGTAAAGTTGGAACTTTAATGCTCTCACCTCCTAGGATTCTTCTATATCTAAAAAAATATACCCCTGTTTTTTTATTTAGAAATCAAAAAATATGAAAGCGCTCAAACTTTTCCATGTATTTTATATAGGGAAAAAAACTTTTCGTAGAAATGATATGGAATTCTTGAAAACCAATATTTTTTAATCGGAAAACTCTGGTTCTCTTCAGGAGACTTTTAATTAATTTTTGTTATTTATCCCCCATTGCATTTTCTGGCATTTTCTAGGGGTTTTAGCGGACCTATAAAATATATTCACTGTGAAAAAAATGGTTAAAATAATAATCGGCTATTATTATGGGGAATCTCCTGAAAGAAACAGTTTTCCGCTCAAAAAATATTGATTTTCAAGAATTCTATATCATTTCTACGAAAAGTTGTTATTTCCCATATAAAATAGATATGTACATATGAAGCTTTGTGATTTTTTTATTTTATTTTTTTATTTCAAATTAAAAAACGGGTATATTTTCTCGGTATAGAACAATACTAGGAGTGAGAGCATAAAAATTCCGACTTTACTTTTTCACATGCATTTTTGGACCACCCTATTATGTATACTAGACATTTCCAACAAACAGTCTGTTGTAATCCGTTTATGAGCAAGGGGACAACGATTTTATATATGAAAGGTATTTGGCTGTGGTAAGGTAAAACTTTCACTACGATTAACATTATGTGTAAAGCATGTTAAGGTTATGGTTATAGTAAGGGTAGTGGTTAAGGCAATGATAATTGTAGAGATAACTGGTAATGGTACGATAATTAGTAATTTTTAATGGTAATGCTAATGACAATGATAATGTTAATGGTAAAAATAACATTTAAGGTAATGGTAATTATAACTATAGTGGTAACTGTAAAGGTAAATATAAGTACATGTAATGGTAATGGTAACGAAAATGAAAACATTAAGGTATTGATGTAATGGGGATAGTAATGGTAACGGTAATGTTGCTGGTAATGGTAATGATACTGGTGGTGGTAACGATGCTAGCAATGGTAATGATGCTGGTAATGGCAACGGTACTTGTAATGCCAACGGTAATGGTAAGGGTCATGTTTCGAAATAAATAAGTACATATGTATGCACATTAAGGTGGAGCGGAAAGAAAAATGTTGGATTAGAAACTCTAATTGCAAGGGATCGTGGTAGGCCATTAATTTTAGTATAATACAGTGCAAGTTTAGAATGGCTACCGCTGATTTTTCACTTTTTTGTATTGATGGTGCCAAGCATTTTCTGCCTTACAAAATATGTTCGACAGTTTTTTTTTATTGGAGAAAATGAGCTACATCTTCTTTCTTAGCTACAAAAAGTTAATGACCTACAAAAGTACATTACTAGAATTTTTCTAAACATGATTTTGATAAATAATGTTACGCAGAAAGTATTAACCGATTTCAATAAAAATGTAGGGGTATTCTATTGACGTCTAAAGGCAACGATCCCTCCCCCTATTAGAAGTTCGAAACGCAAAATGTTTTGCTTCCGCTCCACGCTAATGTACATATTATGTTTTTACATAAATTTCAAAAACAATTTTTTTTTCCTCTATACCAAAACAAAACGTAAAAAAGGTAAATAAAACGTTTCATTTCAGAGTAAAATGTAAACAAAAGTGTCAATACATGGACCACTTCGAATGAACAAAATTAAAATTGAAACCCTGCCGCTGCTATTTATTCAATGTAAAAACGTCACAAAGGTAAATAATGTACTTACTCCACAATACAGTCATCAATTGGATCCAGCGTCATTAGTATGTGTAAGCTAGGAACTTTACGTTTGGCTACAATCGGATCCAAACCATCCGTCTGTGGCACCCAATGCTCTTCGATGCTAAAAAGGGAAAAATAATACAAACAAACACATTTTTCCTGCCTAGTTATCTGTGTACATATGTATTTAGTATCTAAATGGTCGAAAAAATGATAGCCGCACTACATATTGGTAAGTTTTAACATATTATTTTTGTGCTATTTAATTTTAGTTATTTTTTTATAAAAATAGGTATAGTTCGTTCTCTAACAAAAGCCTTGTAAATCCAAGTTTCAAACTTTGTGCGATATTAAAAAACAAAAAAAAACGATCAATAACACTGGTTTACAGCAAAAATTTTCTATATATGCCATTATCCAATTCCTATGTAGAATTGGTTGGTGATTCCGAAAATCAAGATAATTTTTTTTCTATGAATAACTTTTCGAGATATTTGCAAATTACCGTTATTCAGCTTAAAAAATAGTGGTTTCACTTAATCACGTATATCTTACGAACCAATTGAATAATCGTAAAACGGGAAATGAAAGCAAATCAAACCGTATATGTATAAGTACATCACTTTCGAAAATCTTTAGTTTCTGAGACATTAATTGATCATTTCTGAAACCTCTTGTTTTCGATGCAAACACGCTGCCTACTTAGGTGTACGTGGCGTATGAGTAACACTCTTTTCTGCTCATATTTCATACAAAAAATCCTTGCGCATTTCAATTTGACCAATCATTTTTTTTTTCTTATTTTTCCATCGATTTTCTTCAAGGAACAGGCTCTAACACAAGTACAAAACATTTACACAGAAATTGTTTTTTTTTTAATTTAGTCCCTGTTAAAGTTTGATATTTTTAAATTTTTCCATAAAAACGAAAAAAAGAACAAAAAATCTGGAATGGATTAGTTAATTTCTCAGAAACTGTCAGGGCTATCGAAAAGTGATGTATATAGGGTTTGTGGAGAATGCAGTATCCCGTATTATGATTATTTAATTGGTTCGAAAGATATACCTGATTATTTTTTTAAGCTGAATAACGGTAAATAAAAGCCTCGAGGACGTATCCATACAAAAAAAAAATTAACTTGATTTTCGGAATCAGCGAGCAATTCTACATATAAATTGGATAATGGCGTCTGGAGAAAAAAATAAAAATAAAAAATTTTAAAATCTTTCGTAAAAATTTCGAGCTTGATTATAATGTTTTCGCTCACTGCATATATGTATGTATAAATGACCCAGAAGAGCAGTCACTTCAACTTACGTTAGTTGAGCCATGCGCGTCAATTGATGTAGAGGATAGCTCCGCTTTAATATTTCAGCGCAGGACACTGTCTTCACTACACCGCCTCCGGAGCCACTCCAGACAACTGTACGATATTCGCCCTTGTCCAAAGCATTCTTTGCATAGCTGATAACATTGTGTACCTTTGTGCCACCTCTTACCTGCGGAATGATCAAGTATGAATATGAAAACACATATGTAAATACATACATATGTATGTATGTGTAAAAGAAGCTAACGAAAATATATGTACGTACATAACAACATATTTATTAATAGAAATATAAAATAGTGAAAGTTCTTACATGCATCCAGAGAAACTCCTTCTGTGGTAACTTGGGCAAACAATCATCGAATGGCAAATCATCCTTGGTCAATTCTTGCTCGATATTTTCTCCTTTCCGATAGTGCATCATTTTTTTTTTTTGGGTTTAAACTTACTTTTTATATTAAATCTGGAAAGAGAAAAAAAAAGACGGAGCAAATATTACTAAAGCGTTAAATAATTATGTTTGTATATAATCGCCGTCATTTTTAACTGACCACCAACGCATAGCGCTATGGCGAATGAGACTACTTCAAGTGCTGAAATTAAATTATGCTGGCCCACTGCGAGTATTTAATTCCTCGGCGTATCCTGTCAAGTTATGCGTTCACCATGTTTTTCATCGCCACTCGTTTTATTTTGCTTAAGGAATTTGTAAAACAATTTCCTACAACAAATTGGGTTAACAGGGTGAAGGCCATTGAAGAGTGAGATAAAGTTAAAGGCCGCTGGCTCAAAATATATATGTAGGAGGAATAAATATTTAGAAGTTTCATCAATGTACATAGTATGTCGAAAAAAAATTAAATATACACACATACATACATATGTACATATGGCGGTATTTTAAATATACTTCATATTCGGATTCATATAAGAAAACTGGCATAAATACATAAACATTTACGTTTTTATTATATCATGTCTGTATGTACATATATCGAGCCCTAACCGCCAAAATAACGTAAGCGACACTTTTTTTAAAATTTTCTTTTTGATGCAGAAATATTCCTATAGCATCTAGATGCATTTCTGCATCAAAAAGAAAATTTTGAAAAAAATGTCGCTTACGTTATTTTGGCGGTTAGGGCTCGATATGGGAAAATCTTTTGAGATGGGGATTTTTCAATTAAAAAGACCTTTTTTCCAATATAATAACACAATTTTTTCATAAATAATCACTTGTCAACCTAATTGAAGTAAATTATAACCCGCGTAACTAATATTTTTTAAATGCTACTCTATTTAAACCATATTTTCAAAATTGTTTTCTATTAGCCGCCTGGTCAAGTTAGATTTTCAAGGTTGCAGTAACTCGCATAAAACTGAAAATTGGTACGAATGTTACGAACGTCATTATAAATGAAATGTGAAAAGTCCTTGATCCCAGATCTGTAAAAAAATTATTGAAGGTCAAATGTCACGTAAATTGATTTCTACAATTTCCTTAAAAAGGTGTGATTAATCCGCTAGCTTGGTAACTTGGCTAATATAGTATATATAGAATTACCGAGAAGTTCGGTGGGCAGGTGGCCTTGCTTACCCCCTGCAACGAAGCCAGATATTTAGCGTTGGTTATTCTTAGAACAGGATGGATTTATCATGAGATTTTTACCCTTTTTGATCGGCTAAATAAAGATAAAAATCGTATCTAAAGTAGTCTATACGAAATATCGAAATCAAATTAAACAAAACAATCCAAGTATTGTTTTTAAATACAGAACCACCCCTTAAAGGCCAGCGCGAAATTTTGAGGAAATAAAGTTAATTATTCTGACTACGAAAAGTTATTTAATACAAACCTCTGGAAGTATTTGTGGTAGAGTACTGGACTCATGGAAAAAATGTGGGTTCTTGGAAAAGTGCCCGTGGCACCGGCCTTACAGATTTAATTTTATATACTACCACCTGTTAAAAAATTAACTTAAATTCAAAGTGTTTTATAAGTTAAATTAATTATTACAAAATGAATGTCGATCGAGTCGTTATATCCCAGAAATGGTGACTCTTAGAAACAAAAGTGTCATAAAGGGGTTTTAGAGATAATTGCATGATGTACACTTTTGTCTAACATATTTTTATGAAAAAAAAACCTTACAGTTTAGCTGAAACTGAGACCAACTGCAACCGAACTATGCTCAGACAGTAGTATTCGTACACGATCAAGCCCTGAGAGGATTTTGTTTCACCTAATCACAAATTATTTTTAAATGGGTTTAAGTTAACAGTTTTTGGTCACAAATTCAATTACACTTATAATTTTATATATTTATAAACTGATCTTTAACATAATTCTCGTTCGCAAAGACCTATATATAAGTTTTGCCACATAGTTGTTCTTAAATTATTTTAACCCCTTAACTTCTGCCGTATTGGCAATTCGAGGTTAAAATGTTCTAAAGAAATGTAAGAAAACTTCCTCGACTTAGAAAACAGCAACAATATCAGCTTCGCAATTCTGCAAAGATCGCCTCCTGTATAAGTGCTACTAAACGATTGAGCACTAAAACACCTCTGCAAACAACAAAAGTTTTATTGTCCGGACATGAAATATAGGCGATTACAAAATCTGGCAAGCATGCCCTTTGCTTTTCGATGAATGTATTTCACTACAGGGATGCGCAACCCAAATAAAAGTTCACACGCCAAACGACGGAGATGAAACGCCCCCTATTGCATAGAGAGGCAGTAAATGGAACAATCATACGACAATGATCTTTGATGGACTGCTCGAGGTCGGTAATACTGCGAAACGTTTTATGTCAATGACTACTTTTTCTGATATAATAAATCATTTTTATATTCGAGATTTTCGAATTGTTTTGGGCTTGATAAATTGTTTGAAAGCTCAAAACCTGCGAAGGGTCGGCTTAAAATCTAATGGCAGCCGTGAACTAATTAATTGAGGATAAATTGATTTTGTGTGGTACAAAAACAGAAAACAAGAATTTTCTTGCTTAAAAAAAATAAGGAATTTTTCATAAACTGCTACTTTCACCAACAATTTAAGTGAAAAATTATTACTTTTCCTTCTGTCAATTTTCGTATTAAATTCAAATAAAAAAATTTTTTTTCACTTACATAGGTTGCTTTCGCAAAACTGGCTTCGAGACGATATCTGTCACATTTTTTTCTGTGTATTGTATGTAGGTACACTGTAGCCCGGTAATTACGTACATTTTGATTATTTAACTGATTTTCTCCGACAAATAGTTGCGAAAATTGAAAAAAGATACATCTCTGTAAGCTCAAAATTTCGGGATATTTTTTTTTCTCGAGATTATCGAATATCATGATGAAATAAAGAACTATGTGTTTTCTTTTTTTTTTTTTAATAAAGAATGTAAAAAAAAAAAATATATCACACCTAAAAAACATTGAGGTGTAAATTTTTTATGGAATGACCCATGTACATATCGGTCCAAGAAATTCAAAAAGACGTGACTAATAAATAATATTTATTGCATAAAACGATGTGGGAGGTAGTATAATTCGATGAAGCGCCATATATCAATCAATAATTGAGTTTTGAATTTTTTATTAGAATTTTGCATTTCAGCTGACGATGTTAGTTACGGCTATTTACATTTCATAATATATATGTGCACTTACAACTAACTGAATTGCCCGCCGATTGGAAAATAGAAAAAAAAAATCGCTAAATATTCGACACGTTCAATTTAATTAAATTTTCATTAATGAACTTTTGTGCACAACGTTCAAGTGTTTAGCGGAGAAACTGCCATTCAATTCAGCATCTTTGTCTTTTGCAGCCTCATTTCTTTGCTTTGTATGCGCATACACATACTCATTTACATACATTCATATACCCATATAATAGACATACA